AAATTGGGCACTTCTGGAAAAGTTTTTGATTTTTGTCAGGGTGAAAGGCCTAAGGTTTTCAAAAATCAATGGATACAAGTTGGGGTGGTCCCCCTAGTGGCAGTTATCCATAAAATCCAAATTGGCCCCCGCCGAAAAGAGAACAGGTTATATCTCAGCTTCCTTTAGTCTTAAATTGTTGTATAATGTAATTTTTTTCTATTTTGTTTGATACAAGGTGTAACGGTGAGGCAAAGACGAAGCGGAGAGAGAACCCACATGCAAGCACTACTTTAATGAAACAAACAGGAAATCCAGGGCAAACAACCGAACTCGGGACAGGAACAAGGAACAGCTACATTTACAATGACCGACAAACAACAACTGAAGCACAGAGATTTAAATACACAGGCAAACAAGCTAAACAAGATAACAAGGGGGCGTGGCTAATAAGAAACACCTGGGGAGACTAATCAACATAACGGGGTACTGCTAACATGGGACAAGACAGGGGAACACAGACGTGAATCATGACATAACCAACCCCCCACCCCAAGAGTGGCTTCCAAACACTCCCCAGGAAAGAATAGTCCAGGAGGGTGGTGGAGCGGAGGCGGACCCGGGGGCGGAATGGAGGGCCTGGAGACTTGCCGCAGGACGGGAGGCCAGGGCGGAGCAGGCGGCCAGGGTGGACCAGGCAGTTCAGGCGGCCAGGGTGGGCCAGGCAGTTCAGGTGGTCAGGGTGGGCCAGGCAGTTCAGGTGGCCAGGGTGGACCAGGCAGTTTGGGGGATCAGGGTGGGGCAGGCAGTGCAGGCGACCAGGGCGGAGACGACCCTTCAGGCGGCCAGGGCGGAGACGACCCTTCAGACAGTTCGGGAGGCCATGGCAGCGCAGCCTCCATGGTCCTGTCAAGGGACACACTAACAGATACCGGCTGGGGAACAGGAACAGACACCAGCTCGGGAACAGGAACAGACACCGGCTCGGGAAAAGGAACAGACACCGGCTCGGGAACAGGAACAGACACCAGATCGTGAACAGGAACAGACACCAGCTCAGGGACAGACACCGGCTCAGGGACAGACACCGTGGTGACGGCCATCTTTGCAGAGGGCTCAGGTTCAGGCGTGACGGTGGCCATCTCTGCTGAAGGCTCAGGCGACGGCCATCTTGTCCGGAGACACTGGCTCGGTGGACGTGACGTGAACAGTCTCTGGATCGGCGGACGTGACGTGAACAGTCTCTGGCTCGGCAGATGAGACGTGAACAGTCTCTGGCTCGGCAGACGTGACGTGAACAGTTTCTTGTGTGGCAGGCACGACGTGAACAGTCTCTTGTGCGGCAGGCATGACGTGAACAGTCTCAGGTTTAGTGGCCACGGCGTGATGCGTAGGCTCGGCAGGACTGACGTGAAGTGCAGGCTCGGCAGGACTGACGTGAAGCAGCTCAGGCTCAACAGGACTGACGGCTCGGCAGGGCTGGCATGAAGCTCAGGCTCGACAGGGCTGACGTGGAGGATAGGTTCGGCAGGGCTGACGTGAAGCTCAGGCTCGGCAGGGAGAAACTCAGGCAGGGCAGTCTCGGCGGGACGAGACTCTGGCAGGGCGGTCTCGGCGGGACGAGAATCAGGCTGAACAGGCATGACGTGAAGATCAGGTATGACGTGAAGATACTCAGACTTGGCAGGCATGACGTGAAGAGCAGGCTGGATGGGCGTGACGTGAAGAATAGAGCTGTAGTGATAATCAGATCGGTAGTTGAGCCAGCTCTAGTATGTTGGAGTGAAGTAACTAGATTCTAATGTAGTTAAGTTCCCCTTAACTTCCATTCTGAAACAAAGGGGATAGTGTTTTGAATTTATTAAATCATTGACTCTGACTCGCACATGCAGCATCTTTCTCTAATGAATGAACAACGGAATGCTTTGCTTACGAGTTGAGCTAGCTCTGGACATGTGACTCGAGATGAGATCACGAGTCCGGCCGAAGACCACGCGACCCCTTAGGGTCTGTCATGATTTGATCACCTCACAAACAGAGCACTGCCTGAACGCTGAAGGACAATCACACATTGATTGCACACACACACACACAAATGTCCTATAATGTGTATATAAATGTATATAACACAGAAATTGTATCCAACCTTCCTGTATGCATGCATATCTAATTAGTCTTGTCTTATTCTATAGATGTAATTTTAACTGTTCTGTAACTTCGAACCTTAAAGTTTATTTCTAAAGAAAGATTCTATAACTCTCCCTCTTGCTAGGTCATAAAACTTTATGACTCCCAAAAGGAATTCCAAGGGAAATCACAGCTCCCACTTGAATTCTGATGAAGAAAGAGGAATAGCCTCTGCAATCTTATATTGTCTATAAGTATAACCACTTAAGAAATGCATAAACATGAGTTTGATATTTCCTAGGTCACGGTAGCCGGTATTATGGCTTTATAGTCGTGTGAAGGAACATTAAATGCTTATAAAATGCATATCTTATGTAACTCTGTATTCCGATAATCTTCATGTGACGTGTCTGATATGTCTGTAATTCGCTCAATCTAACGGAGCCGAATTCCGATAGCATGATGAAGTAAGGTGCATTATTTTACACATTTCATATTTTTAGGAGCCAAACGGCTCAAATACAATCTCCTCATGAAGTGGGCATCCCCCACAGGACAAAGAGAACTGTGTCCGCTTCAGATCCGCTGACGGTCATGTGTGATTCGCGCAAACAGAGGCGTGAACCTAAGTGTCCTTAAAGAGACGCGCCGAGCTTCCCTCAATCCCTTCTGAAACGCTTCTAAAAGCTTCCTAAAAACTCTCTGCCTAAACTCCCTGGCTCTTCCTGCTCTTCGTGGCTTCATCACGTGACTCCTCGTGCATCTGGACCTCGCCTTAGTGTGATGATCCATTGTTTCTTTTCTTGTTTTGTTTCCTCAAGTTTATTTTATCCTTTTCGAGGCCTCCTCTGTTCATGTCTTCTCGCGAAGAAAATGAACACAGCCAGACTGGCAAGCTTCACCTACAAGGACATTCAAACACGCCGCGCTCGCTGGACGAACCCGAACGCTCGGCATCCACATGACAGAGATACACCCACACGCCTTTTTCAGATCAGCCCCACCAAAGAGCTTTACCTGTGCAAGTATCCGTTTTACTATGCTTATTTAAGATCTGTTGAGTCTTGTTCTAATTCAAAAAGTTCTGTGTCTGTGATGAATTGTGCCAAACCAGAAGATCTCTCATCTTCTCACTCTCTCTCTCTCTCTCTCTCTCTCTCTCTCTCTCTCTCTCTCTCTCTCTCTCTCTCTCTCTCTCTCACTCCCAATCTTGCGCTCTCGCAATCTCTCTCTCTCACTCCTGTTTGTTGTTCGTCTGTCTCATTAGTTTTACTGTTTACTGTACATACATGTATCCCGTGTTTAAATGTAGAATTCTGTATCCGTAGTTTCATTTTATTAAAACCATTATATTCTTGATTGTTTTTGAATGCTCATACTTTACAAGTCAATGAAATGCGATCCTATAGCTACAAAAGCTTTACAAGTTGTTACTATATCAGTAACGTAAATTTTATAAACACGAGAAAATTAATGTTCACGGCCGGAACATTGAGATTTCTTGGAGTTTATAAAAAGGGACAACCTTGTTGAGAAGTTGGTAAGTTAATCTTACGGCTGTTTGCTGGACAAACCGATTGTTTGATAAACTAAATTAATTCCTTTAAAGTTGTCTCATATAATCGATCTGTAATGAGACCATTGATATATGAATGAGGAATTATAATTCGTTATGATTTACCATTCATATATACAGTCGATCTATTTTCAATTTCGATAATTTAACTGTAATACGCAATATATTAATCATATTCATGATTAATTATTAAAATTCCCTATGCATAATTTGAGCTAATTAAGGCACATCTCGATGTCGTTACAAGCTTATCCGAATGGCAATGTCAAGAAATTGAGCTAGTGTGTAGTGAAGGGTGTAGAGTTCTCTTTTATGCGGGCACCATTCTGGTTTTTATCGATACCGGCCACTAGAGGGCCACCCCAACTTGTATCCATGGTTTTTTAAAAACCTTAGGCCCATACCTAACACCCTGCCAAAAATCAAAAACTTTTCCAGAAGTGCCAAATCTTCATGATTTTTCACGTATTCCTTCCCAGCTATGCTTCCTTCTGAGTCCGTTAATTTTGTCCTCTTTTACTTTCTATGGTTTGTCCGATGCCCTTTTGTCTGAGTCCAATAGGCTTTATGCACAGCTTCACTACTTCCTGAACTTCAACCAGCCCTTTGTATCCTGTCTGTCATTATTGGACAAACTGATTAATCCATGTGTGCCTGATTATTGTTACTGAGGCCAGGCACACCTGGATTAATCAGTTTGTCCAATAATGACAGACAGGAAACAAAGGGCTGGCTGAAGTTCAGGAAGTAGTGAAGCTGTGCATAAAGCCAATTCATTTGGCTTTGCCTGATGGTCTGATGCCTTTTAGTCTGAGGCTGTTTGTTACTACACCTGACACCTGACATTGTTTTTCCTGAGACCGTCAAATGTTTGTAAAAATTGTGTCTCGGTTGTTGAATCTTTTTAAGTTCCTAGAAATATTTATCCATGTTGAGAAATTTACTGGAAAAAAGGCAATTGAAGGGAGGATGACGTTTCTTTTTTTCTTTTGCTGAGTATATAACCATGTTACCACAGATTTATTAGTAGTTTGGCTTTTTTATGGGTTATTCAAGACTTATCTGGCTGGTTATTAAACAAGTTCTCAGTAATAAGACACCTACTTTTTAAATGTTTCTGGTCAGATGATTCAGAAAGCTGTCGCTGTAATTTTTCTAGATTTCTGACCAGTCAAAACAAAGCAGTATAATGGAGTGTTGGCGTATATCTCCATCTACTGGAAAATGGTATATTTACACAGGTTGAAATAAACGGAACCACCCAATGATGCAATGATGTTCCACACGGAACTGATAGTGTGGCTACACTGATGGGCAGAACGTTAAACGCCACTGTTGTTGTTTTAAATACATAACGTTTAAAAGGACCAATGCAAACGGAGTACATTAAGAGGTAGTGGATGTCCGTAACATATCCTACTACTACAAATAATATTATTTACATCTTTCCGTAGGCATAGTTGCACGTTATTTCATTAGCGTTATTTGGCAGAATAAAATGTCTCTGTGATATATCAACAGCAGTTAAGTTACCACTATAACTGTCTTCGGTAGTGGAAGACAAAAATGTGGGGAGAAATCGAGCCATGTATCAAACCCAATGAGGGTGACAACGTGAAGTGCTGCGGTACAGACCAGAGATGGACACACTCTCCAGATCTGCAGGTGAGGGAGAGATGTCATCACAAACATCTGCTCTCAGCTCATTTGCGTCGACACTTGACACAAGACTCTTTCTGTCAAAATAGTCTATTTTGATTCTAAAGTATTCTAAAGTTTTACTGTCAAAGTCGAGTGCAAATTTCAAGATAATCCATTACTAACAAACAAAGCATACGATGTAAGAGAGGACATTTGCTTGCAATCGAAGAATTCACTTCATTTTGACAACATTTTTAAATAATACTTCATTATTAAAAAATGAAGAACATGTTATGGGTTATGATTAAAGTCTTGACACATAAATTAGGAACACAACTAGAGATTAATATATTAAATCAAATTTAAAGTCTGCATGAAATGGAAATTCATCTTTCTAAATTCTTTTTCTTGACCTCGTTATGTTTAATCGAAATATAATAATGACTTCTCCACTCCGCCCCTTTTTTACAAACAACTAAGCTCACATTCAGATCTGTCTCCATCCAATCAACAACCTATGGACAAAACTGAGGCTGCATCCGAAATCACATACTTACCTATTATACAGTATGCATCTGAAATCGCATACTTCCCTTCTATATAGTGGGTGAAAAACAGTACGTGACATTCATTCAGTACATGTCGAATTCACAGTACTCATAAAAGTATAGGCGAAAAGTACCCGGATAACCTACTATTTCTGTCGATATTCTGCATACGATGGACACAGGAGAGGATTTGTGAATGGCGGTGAAGCAACTGACGCTGGTAGGTCACATGACAATGACAGCATGGTGAATGTAGTATGTCTGGATTACATTCATACTATATAGAACATACTTTTTTAGCAGTCACAAAGTATGTACTTGTTCAAAATAAATACCTACTCATGAGAGTATGTGATTTCGGACGTAGCCCAAGTCCCCATCCTCCATTTTTATCTTTTTTTGATAATCCGTTTTACTCGGATGTACGTCATATGAAAGAGAAGATCTGTCGCTACTTCTGTAGTTCCGTTACATCATGATTTTAAATAAAAAAAATAGAGAGAAAAGTGACAATGAAGACAAGATGCTAGCTTTTCTCACTCAAGTATTTTCATCAAGATGTGCCTATATACTATTATTGTATATTTGTATAATGACCCAAAATGATTCTAACCTCTTGAATCTCTGTGGACGCTGCTCTTTAGCAGAAGACAGCACTGTGGGGAGAAATCGAGCCATGCACTAAACCTAATACATCTGGCAACTGCAATGAACCTGCTCCTCAAGAAAAATGTCCTCCTGAGACTGATGTTAAGGATGCCCAAAACACTACAAGCTACTCCCCAAATCTACAGGTGATGTCACCTGTGTTCAGCACATGAACTATACATGCAATATAATTCTGTACATGATTCTAACCCTGTTGCTCCTGCTTGTTTTTCTCAGGATGAGCCATCCAGCTGTCTGAGCACAATGATCGAGGCTATAGCAGCCAGTGGGAGTCCAGTGAAAAGCCAGCAGCTGGGGGAGCCAGATTTAACTCTGGAGGAGAAGAAGAGGGTTTTGATGGATCAGTACAAATCTAAGCCCTTAGTCTTTCTAGAGCGCTATCAGGCCCATCTGAAGCCAGAGCACATGGACGCTTTCTCACACCTGAGCAATGACTGCAGGGCGCAGTATTACTGCAAGGAGATTCAGAGACGGGCATCTGGCACAGCAGACCGGACAAGGATCCGGAACCATCGATACGCAGCTCTTCGTGTTCTTCAGAAAGGTAAGCACAGGTTGTTCGAAGTGTGTTCCTGAAGGTTGCATAGGGATACCGCCGTTAAGATTCGGCCTAATTTCAGCCAAATTCGAACGCAGCATCACTTGAACCCTTCACGGAGAAGGCAATCCCACAATGCATTGCAACAAGTAAAAATACAAGATAGTAAGTGATGCAAGATAAATGTTGATTAATTCATTAAAGTCATGATTAATTTAGCACTGAAAAGAATGGCATAAATACAGTACACTACAGTTCAAAAGAGTCTGTAGGATTTTTTTTGTTTTTGAAAGAAGTCTCTTCTGCTCATCAAGGCTGCATTTATGTGATCAAAAATACAGCAAGTAGTGTGAAGTAGTAATACAATTTAAAATCACTGTTTTCTATTTAAATATATTTTAAAATGTAATTTATTCCTGTGATGGCTAAACTGAATTTTCAGCTTCATTACTCCAGTCTTCAGTGTCACATGATCTAATTTGCTGCTTATGAAACATTATTATTATTTCTATCAGTGAAAACAGTTTAATACTTTTGTGGATTTAGGATTGTTTGATGAATAGAAAGTTCAAAAGAACAGCATTTATTTGAAATAGAAAACTTTTGTAACATGTCTTTAGTGTCAGTTGGTCAATTTAATGCATCATTTCCAAATAATAGTAGTAATCTCTTTTTAAAACTTTTCATTTTAAAACGGCAAGAAAAAAATCTATAAAATAACCCCTCTAGCACTTTGTGAACTTGCTGAAGAAATGCTTATGACAAGAAAAGCATGCTTTTTTACTTAGAAGATACTTCTGTCTTCCTCAAACACGTTGTCTCGGTAGAGGGCCAGTACTTCAGCGAGGAGCAGATGCGTGTGCGAGATCCACTGCTGTACGAGCAGTACATCGGACAGTATCTCAGTGAAGAGGACATCATGCAGCGCTCAGAGGAGGCCATGAGGAACGGCCCAGGGGGACTCGCTGACCTGCTTATCAACTCCTACCAGGAGAAACTCATCCAGAACCGCCTGGAGGAGGAGCAGGAGAGAGAGCAGTGTGCAGTGGAGGAGTCGGATGAGGAAGGTATGAGTCATAACTCCGATTCCATCTAATCAGTTTGATGGATGATTGTGTGTGATCTGGCATTTGTGGTTTATGAGGACATAAATGTGTTTAATGAATGACATGGTTATTACAACGGTTTATTAGGACACTTCCTGTGTCGTCGTAAAACAAATGGCCTAAAAAAATACACTAAACGTTTTTGGGGGTTTTTACATTATAAAAATGCAGAACGTTTTCTGTGATGGGTAGGTTTAGGGATAGAGTTAGTGTAGGGGGATAGAATATACAGTTTGTACAGTGTAAAAACCATTACGCCTATAGAGAGTTCGCGTAAACCACATATGCCAGTTTGTGTGTGTGTTTTAGAATGTGAGGAACCCAGACCGGCAGAGTGGGAGCCAACTGCAGAAGAGAAAGCCATGCTGAGGGAGGAGTTCCTGAGTCAAATGCATCAGCGCTTTTTGGATGGAAAAGATGACTTCAACTACAGGTCAAATCAGAGGACTTACTCATTCTCCAGTTTTACTATCAATTAGGTCTAATTTAAGATCAAATTCTGAGAATAATATTAATAAAAATGCTTTTTTCTCTTCAAATTAGTTGTTAAAGGGATGAAAATTAGCCCATGATTTACTCACCCTGAAGCCAGGTGTATATGACATTCTTCTTTTAGACAAGTACAATCAGAGTTATATAAAAGAAATGTCCTGGCTCTTCCAAGCTTTACAATGGCCGTGAATGGCTGTTTCTGTTTGAAGTCCATAAAAGTGCATCTATCCATCATAAAAGTGCTCCACACAGCTCTGGGGGGTTAATGAAGTCCTTCTGAAGTGAAGCGATGCGTTCGTGTAAGAAAAATATTAATATTTAAAACTTTATTAAGAAAAATAACTAGCTAGTATTTAACATGCTACAAAGTAAAATTCTAGCTTCCGGCCAAACGAACATACGGATTTGACTCAAGTCTAATGGCGCTTTTCCACTGCATGGTACGGGACGGTTCGGTACGGCACGCTTTGGCACTTTTCCACTGGATGGTACGGTACGGCTCGGCTCGGTACGGCTCACATGTGGCGCTTTTCCACTGCATGGTACGGCACGGCACGGCTCGCTTTAAATGGTACCACCTCTGTCGAGGTTCCAAGCGTACCGTACCAATACTAAAATGTGACGTGAACACACTGCAGATCACTGATTGGTCAGACAGAATCGTCACTACCAGCGTCATTGTATTTGCGAGACATCAAACCCGCTAAATTTAAATAGCCAGTAACAGCCACCGCTGTAGCACCTGTTTTAAAACTACTTGCTTGAAGAAAAAAGAAAGAAAGAAAACTTCCAAAAAAGAATTGGCTGAATCGTGGTCAGTGGACGAAGTGCAAACGTTCCTCTCGTTGGTTGCCGAGGAGCGGATAAACTATAACGGTCAGACTATAATCCCACCCACTTTGAAGGGGTACTAACTGCAGTGGAAAAGCAAACCGAGCTAAAGCGAGCCGAGCCATGCCGTGCCGAGCCGAACCGTACTGAGCTGTACCGAGCCGTACCAGCAGTGGAAATGTGCCGCCCATAAGTGCAACTTATGTGAGTAATGCAACATACTGCTGATATTTACGCTATGCCATGACGCACTACACTACGTCTGACGTCCCAAGTTGCGTAAGTTGCACTTTAGGCGCAAGTAGACTGCGTATGGCTGTTCGGCCGTGTGTAATGTCATATACACCTAGGTTGACTTGAGGGTGAGAAAATCATGGGCTAATTTTCATTTTTGAGTCAACAATCCCTTTAATGATGCCATGTAATGCAAACTGTAGTGTTAATTGCTCATATTTTAGCTCTTATATAATCTTATATCTTAAATAACATTGATATTTTCATTGTAGTGAAGTGGATGGGAATCCAGATTTTGATAACCTGGATATCGTAAGCCATGATGCAGAGGAGCGCTACTTTGATGATGATGATCAGGTAGAAGAGGAGGAAAAAGAAGAGGAGGAGGAAAAAGAAGAGGAGGAGGAAAAAGAAGAGGAGGATGATATGATGCAATAGCCCTTCATGTTCAGAATGATTTTCACATTTCTCCTGTTTGATATTTTTGTTTGTGTAGGTTAAATGTGATTATCAACACTTAATTGTCTTTAATAAAAGAGTACTATTTTTCAAGGTGTAGTTGGTCACATTTGTTTAAGGGAGGGGGAGGGGGGAGGGGGGAGGGGGGGACCCAGATGCTGGTCTGACCCTAAAAGACAAGCACTTCTACTTTAATTCCCCACTAGAGTTTTTTTTAAAGTTGCCACAGGGCTCTCAAGTGTCACTCATTTCGGTATTTTGTCACGCACTCCCGCCACACATTGTATTTCTCACGCGGAAAAACTATTTGTAATATATTTAATATGCCGCAGCACCCAAAATTTCTCTGGTCGCGCCGCTCTCACTATGGAACCGGCAGGAAACAATGCGCGTCTCCCCCGGAATTCTTATGCTGCGTTCCAGGCAGGTTTTTGAGCACGTAAATCACGACTTCAAACCACAACTCACGACTTTGTAGCATTCCAGGCCAGTCACGCCAAACTACCTGAGCGCAAGGAATTGTGGTAGCTAGATGTAAACAAACCAGCATGGTGGACCTTACGGGGCTTATGCGCATTTGTAATAATTTCTGTCGCCAAAGGTGCTTACTCCTTGTTTATTTGAGGGAAACGGAGGAGGAAAAACGGCGCATAAGGCAAGATAAGCTGTTATACCTTTTATTTTACTTTATTTGTATATTTGGAAATGTATTTGGTATTAATTTATCCTTGCACTCAATGGACTGAAAACTAGCTAACGTGATATTGTCCTAAAGTGTATTCTCACCGTGTACCGCCTGCAGAAACACTGCATCCGTAGGGGTTGCCATTGTTGTTTTGTATGGTTTCGCGGGCTATGTGACGTCAGAGCTCGTAACTGGGAGTACACCGATCTAGTACGAGTTCACGGGTGGGAAGTCACGGGTTTGACTGCCGTTCCAGTGCACTTTCATGGGTATAAGGTTGGAAAAACACGGGTTACAGGTAGCCTGGAACGCGGCATTAGTCGAGCCTGCCACTTATCAGCCAATCAAAAAAAAGAAAGGGGCTACACAATACCCAATCAGAAAATAGCACTATTGTATCTGGGTAAGATTTAACGCAACAACCAATGAAAAAAAAAGCAAATCCTGGAATTGTTCACGACGTGATTTTGCTACAACATCTTCCGAAAGTTTCGTTTACCCACAGAGGAAACCACTGGAGCTCGAGCATCACTTTGAGCACAGAGTAAGTCATGATCTCCTGTTTTTAATGTTACAACAAATTCACAACTTGTTTGACACAATGACAACTTGACTGCTGTTATTGAATGTTTCCCAGATAATTAGCATCAGTTTTTCACGAGTGTCTGTAACTTAGCCAACAGTTTTACAGCCTGTTCACTGACAACATCTGCTCAGAACAAGTAGTCTAGGCCAAGTCATATTTTCGTTATCACACGATGACTGACATATGTACTGTCAGTAATTACTCGCCCTCATATTGTTCCAACCCCGTAAGACCTTCGTTCATCTTCGGAACACGAATTAAAAATATTTTTGATGAAATCTGAGAGCTGGATCACTCCTCCATACTAGTCCATAGGCTTCTTCAGGGATTGAACTTGCCGGCCTTGAAAAGTTATTAAAGACATCGTTAAAATAGTCCAAGTGACTACAGTGGCTCAATCTTAAGTTTATCAAGCTACGAGAATACTTTTTGTGCGCAAAAAAAACAAAAATAACTTTATTTCAACTATTCATTTCCTTCTCTGTGGGCCTTGAGTCAGTTCACTAGTGTAATAGCGTAAGCTTCTGTTGTTGTACGTCACACGCATCACGCACATGACCAGCGTCGGCCAATAGTGAGCCTACGTGTGACATAGCTCTACGGAATCACACTACGTTAACTGACTAGAGGCCCAAAGAGAAGGAAATGAATAGTTGAAATAAAGTCGTTATTTTTGTTTGTTTTTGCACACAAAAAGTATTCTCGTCGCTTGATAAACTTAAGATTGAGCCACTGTAGTCACTTGGACTATTTTAACGATGTCTTTAATAACTTTTCGAGGCCGGCAAGTTCAATCCCTGAAGAAGCCTATGGACTAGTATGGAGGAGTGATCCAGCTCTCAGATTTCATCAAAAATATCTTAATTCGTGTTCCGAAGATGAACGAACGTCTTACGGGGTTGGAACAACATGAGGGTGAGTAAATACTGACAGAATTTTCATTTTTGGGTGAACTAACCCTTTAAGTTTACATTATAAACATCTCTCTCTCCAAATAGGCTTAATAATTTTATAATCTTAATTTTATTAGCACTAAATAAATTAAAGTATATTGCATAGTAAATGTTATACACTCACCTAAAGGATTATTAGGAACACCATACTAATACTGTGTTTGACCCCCTTTCGCCTTCAGAACTGCCTTAATTCTACGTGGCATTGATTCAACAAGGTGCTGAAAGCATTCTTTAGAAATGTTGGCCCATATTGATAGGATAGCATCTTGCAATTGATGGAGATTTGTGGGATGCACATCCAGGGCACGAAGCTTCCGTTCCACCACATCCCAAAGATGCTCTATTGGGTTGAGATCTGGTGATTGTGGGGGCCATTTTAGTACAGTGAACTCATTTTCATGTTCAAGAAACCAATTTGAAATGATTCGAGCTTTGTGACATGGTGCATTATCCTGCTGGAAGTAGTCATCAGAGGATGGGTATATGGTGGCCATAAAGGGATGGACATGGTCAGAAACAATGCTCAGGTAGGCCGTGGCATTTAAACGATGCCCAATTGGCACTAAGGGGCCTAAAGTGTGCCAAGAAAACATCCCCCACACCATTACACCACCACCACCAACCTGCACAGTGGCAAAGTCCTTTTAGGCAAGTCATGCCACTCGGCCGCCATCTTGGCAACGCCTCCGGGCAGCTATTTCGGACTAACAAGACCAGGCTCCTATCTAAATGAATGGGCAGAGAGTCAGAACTGCAGTTTCACTGGTCACCGGGACATAAAAACTGCATGTATAGAAACAGCAGTAAAATATGATAAAAAAAATCGCTGAAAAAGTTTGATGACTTTGCCCCAAAATAAGGTTTAAAACCCCTTTTTGCCCACAGGTTATACTTTTACTACGCATCCACAAGGGTTCTCTCCCTCGGTCGTGCACGCGCTACACAGTTTGAAGCACAGTATGTGCAAGCTCTTGCGAGCTCGCTCTAGATTCCGGGAGATTTGAACTATTTGCGGGCATCAGGGAGCCGCTATCAATCTGCGGGAGACTTCTGATGTCTGATATTACACAACTCACACATACAGTGCATATCAAATCTGCCGACTTTTCAAACAGTAACGTATTTTGCGCTGTCGCAAACCTCAACTGTGCGCATGCGTCAGTGGAACCAGACGATAGGCTTAAATGTTTCCAGGCTTGACTTTTAAAAGCAGACGATTGGCTTTCCAGCGGGAGGGGCGGGACATGTGCATACAACCGCCATCTTTGGCGTTACGGGTTTTCCCTATATACACTCAGCTAAAGGATTATTAGGAACACCATACTAATACTGTGTTTGACCCCCTTTTGCCTTCAGAACTGCCTTAATTCTACGTGGCATTGATTCAACAAGGTGCTGAAAGCATTCTTTAGAAATGTTGGCCCATATTGATTGGATAACATCTTGCAGTTGATGGAGATTTGTGGGATGCACATCCAGGGCACGAAGCTCCCGTTCCACCACATCCCAAAGATGCTCTATTGGGTTGAGATCTGGTGACTGTGGGGGCCATTTTAGTACAGTGAACTCATTGTCATGTTCAAGAAACCAATTTGAAATGATTCGAGCTTTGTGACATGGTGCATTATCCTGCTGGAAGTAGCCATCAGAGGATGGGTACATGGTGGCCATAAAGGGATGGACATGGTCAGAAACAATGCTCAGGTAGGCCGTGGCATTTAAACGATGCCCAATTGGCACTAAGGGGCCTAAAGTGTGCCAAGAAAACATCCCCCACACCACCACCACCACCAACCTGCACAGTGGTAATAAGGCATGATGGATCCATGTTCTCATTCTGTTTACGCCAAATTCTGACTCTACCATCTGATTGTCTCAACAGAACTCAAGACTCATTAGACCAGGCAACATGTTTCCAGTCTTCAACTGTCCAATTTTGGTGAGCTCTTGCAAATTGTAGCCTCTTTTTCCTATTTGTAGTAGAGATGAGTGGTACCCGGTGGGGTCTTCTGCTGTTGTAGCCCATCCACCTCAAGGTTGTGCGTGTTGTGGCTTCACAAATGCTTTGCTGCATACCTCGGTTGTAACGAGTGGTTATTTCAGTCAAAGTTGCTCTTCTATCAGCTTGAATCAGTCGGCCCATTCTCCTCTGACCTCTAGCATCAACAAGGCACTTTCGCCCACAGGACTGCCGCATACTGGATGTTTTTCCCTTTTCACACCATTCTTTGTAAACCCTAGAAATGTTTGTGCGTGAAAATCCCAGTAACTGAGCAGATTGTGAAATACTCAGACCGGCCCGTCTGGCACCAACAACCATGCCACGCTCAAAATTGCTTAAATCACCTCTCTTTCCCATTCTGACATTCAGTTTGGAATTCAGGAGATTGTCTTGACCAGGACCACACCCCTAAATGCATTGAAGCAACTGCCATGTGATTGGTTGATTAGATAATTGCATTAATGAGAAATTGAACATGTGTTCCTAATAATCCTTTAGGTGAGTGTAGGTCACTTTTAAAATCATGTCATATTTTATAATTATATCCTGGCCATGGATGCATTAATCATTGCATCTGACTTTCAAAGATGAAAGTCTTTCACTCTTTTGGGTGTCACTCTTGCCGGTCTTCAAAACTTAAGAGCTGTTGCCAGCCACCTTCAGCATTTGATAATTTTCACCAAAATTTCATGGCCCCTAGAATATTTTGTTGAATGAATATCTGAACATGCTGAAAATATCTGAACATATCAATAGAAATAACAGACCCTCCATTTTATTTTAGCATCATACATTATTTTTTTAATCAACACTTGAATATGGATGTTTCATTAAAGGAGACATATCATGAAAATCTGACTTTTTCCCTGTTTAAGTGCTATAATCGGGTCCCTGGTCTGGTGCATCTACCAAGATTTTGGAATGTGAAATTGTTATTTCTGGAGTATCCGAGGATCCACCGTCTTCTGAACTTGGGCGGGATGCGGGAAGCAGCAGCTCATTTGCATTTAAAGGTGCAGTGTGTGATTTTTAGTGGCATAGTGGTGAGGTTACGAATTGTAACCAACAGAAGTTACGGTGGCCGACAGGAAAATATGTCGACGTCGGAGACATCAGAGAGTGGCCAGATAAGCAATGAGGTTTCTTTACAAAGATAAATTAAGATATGGTGTTTACTTAATTATTCAGTAAAACGATATGTTATTGTGAATATTATTGTTACTTGTTCATTATTGTGTCGGTTTTATTCGCTGACTTTAGCTAGCTTCTTTGTACGAAGAACAACATAGTGACGAAATGCGCTCTGTAGTTTGTCTGTTAAGGGCTACTGTAGAAACATGTCTGCGCAAAATTAATTTCAATGTAAGGGGACCCGCGGTGTATGTAGATAGAAACGGCTCGTTCTAAGGTAATAAAAACATAACGGTTCATTAAGTAAGGTCTTCATACACTACTGAAAACAAAGTTATGTATATGACATTGCATTTCGGTCAACAGATCCTCCTAAATATTACACAATGCACCTTTAAAGGGACACACTCAAAAACAGCGCGTTTTTGCTCACACCCAAAAAGGGGCAACTTTCACAAGCTATTAAATGATCTGGGGGGTATTTTGAGCTGAATTTTCACATACATTCTGGGGACACCATATATTTATATTACATCTTGTGAAAAGGGGCATAATGTGTCACCTTTATAAAAAAACACATCCAGATCGGATTCAGAATTATCAAAATATAGGAGTAGATCGAGTCCATCAAAACCCCTAATGCTTGCAGAGTCCTATAGCTCGTCCTGGGTCGACATTACATTCAGTAAAATAACATTAGGCAGTTTTGATTTATATTCTGTTTAATGTTGATGATCACGTTATTTTACATATGCATACGCATATGCATTACATACGCTTGTTTCTGCATCTTTGCATGCGCGTTCAGTAATTTTTCAGAAGATGTGTAATAGCGCCCCCTACCGTATAACAGTGAAAACATGGAAATTTATGTCAATGGTGGGGAAAGAGTTACATGCATAGACAGTAAAAGAAATGGACACAGCGACCCCATAGATTTCAACGGAGAAAAGTGAAGTCAATTAGAAGCACTCACTTCCTGATTGCCAAGCACACTGCGCAGGCTCAAACTGAGCTTGACGACGTAGATGTTACGTGGGCAACCTGACTGACAGTTGTACGTCTTCTAGTAGCGGTGCCAAGAGAAATCTGAATCATTCCCTTCCGAATCTCACAGAGCTGGAGACCGTGAGTATTAGCTGTCCCTGAGCTAGCAGCAGGAGCAACTTTACAACTCTCTATGGGCTTCTCCCTTGACTGTATGCCTCCATTTCCCCCCGATTGCATGCGAGCTTCTACTTCTGTCTATACGGTAATATCTCTACTTTGCGACAGAGAGTCGCGTGTTATGACGCAATCGTTAGCCTATTTTTACAAACACTGCTTCTATGGGGCCATAACGTAAGATACAAGGTCATGGAGCCTTTTATACATTGTCGTGTTTCTTTAGAAATAAACAATGGACAAATGGAGTCTTTAAACGCCTCAGATGTAAAGTTATTCGCTGTCAGGTGAAGGCTTGTTAACCAATGGTGGCCCCCGGGGAGACTTCCAGAGCCCGTCTAACGGGTATTAAGCCTGGAACACACCAAGCCGACGCCGACGAACTACCGCTGATGAAAGCCGACTGTGTTGTCACCTCTCGTCGGGGTAAAAAGCTGCACTTGAACACACCGAGAGAACTACAGCCGACTGTCAGCTAGAATGCGCGTTCTGCGCCTGCGTGTATATGAGACAACTGTTTATTTCTGCAGATAAATTAGTCAATTTCAGCCGACGGCACGGAACCGTGCGGAACACACATTGAGGAAACTTAAGCCCCGTTCACACTACACGCGACCAAGCGACGCGATACCATTCATTTCAATGGGGAGCTGGCGATTTCCGGCGCGACGGCGACCGGATGGGGCGTGTCTGGCGACGAGACAAAGTTGAGATCTGTTTAACTTTATGCAAATGAGGAGCGACTTTAGGGAGCGACAACCAATAGGAGCGGAGCGCGTATGATCCTTCTCCACATCATTGGATGTCATTCATAAAGGCAACCAGTAGTGGGAACTCCCACTAGCGACCTCATCGCCAGCCACTGGCGACATGCAGCGACAAAGTCGCTCGGCCGATGCACAAAAACTGGTGTGTTTCAGGCTTTAGACATTCTCTGCTATTACCCCCTTGGTTAAATGTATAACAAGTGTGCCGCACAAGCCCTGAAAAGAAGCCAAAACGTCTCGATCACCCCCCGGTGGCCGGTCCTAGTATAGGTCATAAACCCCACCTCCCCATGTTTTTCAGGCAGTGAGACCAACTAAAAAAAAAAAATTACACTTCAAATATCGTTTTTCCAAATATGGTTTCTGTCATTTACTGTAGTTTTTATCACACTGATGTAATTTCTATCACACTGATGTAATTTCAAGTGTTTGTTTTTAAAATAAGTTTGTTTTTATTTAGTTATTTGATGCGATGGTGGTGACGTCATGATTGACAGCTGTGATTAACAGGTTCTCTGAGCGAAGTAATCACTGAAGCACCAACAGACTTTTTTTCGGGATCTTCGGAGGACTGAGGAGATTGGAGCTTTAAATTTAATATCTAAATGTCTATAATTTTTTTTTTTAAGTGCAGGAGCGTGTGCTTGCGATTGATTCTGCGAGTGTGTGGGCGAGGCGTTGATTTCGCGGCTTTACTTCCTGCTCACTACTGCGCATGTCTGGTCCCGAAATTGCTACTGCCAGAGAATGTCATTTCTGACCAATGGAAGAGAGCGAAGGGGCGTCGTCCATCTTTTTTTTACAGTCTATGGTATAACATCAATAACCTATGAAATGGCATTTGGTTTTATTGCTAATTTGAGTACAGACCGCACAGACAATTCAACAAAATATGAAGTAAATACTTTATTAACATTCAAGATTTCATTAGCATTGCAATATCTCAAATTAAAATTCTACACAATAAAAATAAAAATTAAATACGTTCACAGGATAGGTGCTGGATGGAAAGTTAAGGTTATGTAAGGCAAAAATATACAAACAAAAATTAAATCAACTACCATTAGTGAGGGCCCTTGGAGATGTAACGAACAAAACAAAAACCTGGGAATATGCATGGAGAATGCGTCAATACCAAGCAAATTGTTTATGTGCAGTTTTACAATGTAACTAGAGCCTTTCACTTTTAAAGTCATACTTCTAAAAGCACACTGACTAACATTTGTATTATCTGATCTGAGCATCCAAATGTGTCTGTGCAAAACGTGTGTCCTATTGATTCTTTCCCTCTATTAGCTACACTACCACCAATAGAAGTCATTTCTACTACACATAATTGCCCCACAAAATGCAGTGTTAGAAATGCCTAATGCCAGTGAAATATCTATAAAATACCAACCCTTATAAGCCATAAAAAAATATTCTAAAGAATACGGTGTAAATAGAAAAAGTCATTAGCTCCTTCATAATGTGTTAATACTGTGGCAAAAACAAACTAGTTAGAATTAAAGAGGAGAATACTGAAAGGTTACATACACACCATGTTCCTTCAAATTACACACTTCACAGTTAACTGCCAGAATTACTTACAATGGCAAGTGGTTAAGGGACATTATTTAAAAAAAAATAAAGATGACTGAATGAAATGAAAATATCTCTATCAAACCCACAGGGTCCATAACTTGAACTTTTCAATAGATTTGTGGTCAGAAACCATCACAGTATCATATATCTATATATATATATAGATAAAAAGGCTGTAAGGAGGGGAAAAAAGTAAACGCTTCATACAGACTATATACCGTTCTCCTTAGTAAATGAGCAGGGCACTTTATATGTTTCAGCTTCAGTTTTGCCTTATGTTTTAATGGTTATTTTCTGTTGTGCCATGATAAACATAACCTATGTGGAGCAGTTGTTTGCCCTAAAGTACCATTAAGATTCATAAACTTTACTGTAGCAGCCATGTATTCTAGGAAAATCAACTGATAAGGCTAAATATAAACTTCTGAATACAAGTATTTCGATTTGATTTAGCATAAGCAAATTAATGGCACACAGTGAGAAGAGAGGTGACGTGAGAAAAGAGGAATGTTGAAAGACAAACGAAGAAAAACTTAATGGGGTCAGTGCAAGCAGCCCCCCTACCGTCGGTCGTACGGACATTGTGCAACACATCTTGGCTGTTTTATCCCCTCATACCATTAAAAGTCACCTCTCAAATGTACCATTTTATGGCCCCTGAAAGGAACCAATGGTTGTGGGAAAGGAAAACTGGAGGAAAGGTGAAGGAGAACAGGATAATAGAATGAATCATTCAGTCTTTTGGCACAGGGGGAAAAAAAGTGCAAAATTCCCACTGTAAAAATGAACAATGTTTGGTGCAACTTCCGGAGTCTGCTCTGCAAACAGCTCTGTTAAGATCCAATTTGAAGTAATGAGTTCAGCTGATGAGTTTTCATCCATAACTGCTCCTGAAAAGAAACATCTTCATCAAGGCTTAAATACGGATACAATTATATATAAATCACAGGCACTCCTCCAAACACACCGATTGATCTTACAATCACTCAAACCATTCTGCACTGCCAAACGTGTCCACAAGGAGGCAAAGAGGTACAATAAAACAAATGTAAAATGGCTATGGCTAAATGAAAGCGCTGGAAACCGTGGTCTGTTCTTAATTTTCTGTACATTTATAGTTCAGATAATAATGCCTAAGGCTTAACTGAGTAGGATGAGAGAGGCAGATGCCCCACTGAGAGCCAGCTTGGAGGAATTTGGACTGCAGGAATCGCAAGAGTGCATGAGAAGCTCTGCGTACACATGTACTAACTAGACAAGGAGAGGGCTTTGGGTAAAGCATAAAGTGGTGGTCATTAGCAAACTGGAAACTACTGTCGCATCTAGAAAGTCACAAAGCATAGGACGAGGTGGGTATCTCTGGCAATGAAATACACAACATGCCTCTGTGTGTGTGTGTGTGTGTGTGCGTGTGCGCGCGCGTGTGTGTGTGTGTGTGTGTGTGTGTGTGTGTGTGTGCTCTTGTTTATTACATTGTGAGGACCAAATGTCCCCACAAGAATAGTAAAACGTGAAAATTAATGAATATCCGAGATATTCTGAACAAAATCATGCACTTAAAATGAAAATGCACAGGGACTAAACTAATGTGTATAAAAAAAAAGAAAAACAACATGGTTCTTATAAAAGGAGTCTTAAATGAATCAGTACAATGTTGTTTTTCTTTTTTTTATACAAATTAATTTAGTCCCTGTGCATTTTCATTTTAAGTGCATGATTTTGTTCAGAATATCTCGGATATTCATTAATTTCATATATAGTGTATATATTTGTACATCTGTATATTTTGTACACACACATATTATGTATGTGTATATATAGATGTGTGTGTATATGTATGTGTATATACACATATATATATACACAGTATATAGTATATATACACTGAATATTTATTAATTTTATATACAATATCTGATTTTCATTCATTTTATATCAGATATTCTGAACAAAATCATGCACTTAAAATTAAAATGCACAGGGACTAAATTAATTTGTATTAAAAAAAAAAGAAAAACAACATTGTACTGATTCATTTAAGACTCCTTTTATAAGAACCATCTAAACAATCAGATTCACTTGACTATTTCCCAACACTAGATATGATTTCTATTTTTAACCAACACTAGATATGATTTCTATTTTTAACCAAACAATGATTCATATCAGACTACATAAAAGACAGCAAAAATCGCTGCTTTTAGCAAGAGAACAAAAAGATGCACACATTTTATGCTATACTCCTAAAAAACCCAAGATTATGAAAAAAATATTTAAAACATCATATTTGTGATGTTTCCCCTGACATGTTATCTTAGTAGTTTATGTTAATGTTATGTTTACTGTATAACTCAGATTGTGTTGGGTTTTCTCTTTTTAATATTCTTTTTTTTGTATTTTCTTGTAATTGTTCTTGAAAAAAAAAAGATATATTGTTTATTATTAATACAAAAACATGTTTGCTATACTGCTACTGTACTTGTTGAAAAACGTAGCTTGTTTAAAAGCTACAGGATTTAGAAAACAAGTGAACTATTGTCACACAACTAAAAAAATGCAGTGATGTTTTTGTTCCTCTCCTTCACGAAATACACTAACACTATTTTTTTTGCAAACTAAAGTCTAGCACAGATCTGCACAATAAATAACTGCCAGGCTCAGCGGGGTGCATGTCCTCAGTCAGACACACCTCCCTTCTGCGTCCAATAACAAATCTCCTGTCTACTCTTCACAGACCACAGCGCTCCGCTCACAGACGCTGCTTAAGTGCTAAACGTTCCTCACCTCCAGCTGTCTGCCGGCTCGCCTCAGTTGATGAGAATTCCAGGAGGCCTCCCATCCTCCTCTGTGATGTTCCTGAAGTTATTCTCAGCTTCATCCACAGTCCTAAAGAAGCAAAACATTGAGGGGAACCCAAAATACACTCAACTCTAATAGACCAGAACAGATGAATAAAAGGCGCTCACATTAAGAAGTCTTTGACGTCCTCAACGGTGAGATCGCCAGTGGTGTCCAGAGTGATGTCGGCACTGCTGTTGGGAGAATCCAGGACGGGGGATGACAAAGCGCTCCTCATTTCCTCCAAAAGACCTGAGAGAAAGACAGCATATTACCTTATTTTATGCCTTTTCAGCCTAAGCAATGAAATCATTGTATTTCATGAAATACATGTTCTTGACAGTGCGATTTGTATTGTCACAAAAGGGGTGAGATCATAGTTTACTGCTGTACAAGTACATAAATTAGACCTCTGTCATAAAAATTCTAATTTCCAGTAAAACAAAACCACACAAATTCTGGTTATTTCAGCTAGTTGAGTGAAGAATGACATATATTTTCCATTTGTCAAGACTTGAGTGCAGACCCGTTACCTTCAGTTTCAACAGACTTGCTCTCTGCTTGTGTCTTGTGTGTTCCATTAGCCTGTGGTGGGAGCGTCGTGCTGGAAATGCAAAAAAAAAAAAAAAAAGATTGAAATTTGCTGAAAATGCAGAAGTACTATTCTCTGAATATCAGGGCCATGACTGATGACGTATCCTCCAAAATTAGCCATCTGTAACCCAACTGTTCAAAGGTTTGGGGTCGGTAAGAGTTAACGTTTTTAAAATAAGTATTTTATGCGCACACAAAAATACAGTAAAAACAGTAATACTGTCAAATATTACAATTTAAAATTATTTTAACCTATTTTGAAATGTGATTTATTCCTGTGATGTCAAAGCTGAATTCTCAGCATCCTTATTCCAGTCTTCAGTGTCATGTGATCCTTCAGAAGTCCAGTGGTGGAATGTAACGAAGTACAAATACTTCGTTACTTTACTTAAGTACATTTTTCACGTATCTGTACTTTACTTAAGTAGAATCAATAGTGCATACTTTTTACTTTTACTTCGTTACATTTTGCAGCAATTATTATACTTTCTACTCCACTACATTTCTACAACGTTCTGTTACATTTTCGTAAAATTTTCTGATCAATTTTTCCCCTGCCAAAACATCATCCTGACCATCCGTTCATCGCACGTTTCTGTCTCACCAGTGAAGTTTAGTTGCCATAGATATATCAACCCGGTCACACTAAATGCGTCTCTATAGCACGCAGTGTGTTTATCGTGCAATTTATACGCGAAAATGAGTTTTTACATGCATAGGAAACGCATTGGTAGGTTTAGTAGTGATGTGTGTGCATTATACGTTTGGTTAGGATTAGTATGGCAAGCCAAGAAGTTCAGAATTACGCCATAAATTAATCGCGTTTACAGCCAAACGCCGTCATATACGGCGTTTTAACATAATATGTGTGTTTATATATATATATACCGTATATAGTAAGGGTATATAGTAAGCTTGATGTGTATATTGCCTAATTGCAAGCTTCTTCAGAAATGGTGACAAAAACTTAATATAACTGCTTTTCCATCATATTGAACATCATTATATGAGTATTAGGTTGAATGAGTTAGAATTAACTGTTTTATTAATCATTAGAATATAGACATTAAGAGAAATTGTTATGCAAGTACTTTTACTTTTAATACTTAAAGTACATTTAAAATCAGGTACTTTTTACTTAAGTAAAAGTACAAACAACCAGAGACATATTTACTTTAGTAAAAGTAGAAGTACCACAATGACAACCTTACTTAAGTACTGAGATTCAGTACATCCTCCACCACTGCAGAAGTCATTCTAATATGCTGATTTGCTGCTCAAGAAACATTTATTATTATTATTATTATTATCAATGTTGAAAACGGTTTCCACAAAATATTAAAATGGCAAAACTACTCGATTAGCCCTCCCAACAGTGAAATCTCACTGATCCAAACTAACAATTGCATTTTGTACATCAAATATCTTCTAATTGACTAATGACTGGTGCCCAGGAGTACAATTTATTATTAATTCAGTGTATGTATATAGAGGTCTATGTTTGGATGATTATTTTGGTGGGGCTGTGGCTGTGTAAACTGTAATTAGTGAAATCTATATGTTACTCACCTGTGTTCAGAGAGATCGTGAGGTCGCTCCACATCCATTCGGCACAGTGGCTCTGTGATCACACGAGCTGACAGCGAGAAGCGCTCGTACTCCGAGGGCGAAATCAGGTAGAACCCTGATAAAGTTGAAGGCAATTTCATTGCACTGGGAAGGCTCCGAGCTAGAAATGATTTGCAGGCTGTTTGAGAATTAACTACTAACCTTGTCCAGTCTTTGTGAACACACAGGAAGCAATGCCACTGATGTCTTCTTTGCGAATGCAGTCGTAGCGGACTTGCGGTCTCAGTGCTGGCACACTGAACACGTGGAGGTCACCCAGATTGGTAAGGCACACTAAAGCGTTCTCAGAGTACTCTTCAGAGCTCACGCTGGTGAAGTTCGACAGCGCCACCTTCCGTACTCGACAGCCCTCATGGGCGGTCAGCTTGAACTTGGTTTTTGCGCTTACTTTAGGCAGCGTGAAAATCTACACAAAGCAGAAGATAGATTATTCACTTCCAATTTAGCTTTTTACGATCTAGTTAATGGTAGATTTAGTTGTAAATATCCCAACCTTAAACTGCTCTTCAGAAGCAATAAGAACTGAGTGGCTGCCCTGCATGTCTGGAGCTTTGGCCAGATCTCTGGAGACTTCATACGGCTCTGGCAGAGGGGTTCCTCGACCATCCAGCACAGCGATGGACACCACTGGAGCTCTGTGCATGAGCTGGATCTCTTTCCCCAGCAGGGCCTCCACACTCTGCTCAGAGAACTTCTCCTGCGAGGGTACGTCCAGAGCGTATGCGTACACCGAGCCAGAGTTTGTGCCGGCCCACATTGTAGGGCCATGATGCGTTCCTGAGAAACAAAGGAAAAATAATGGTGGCCTATAGCATGCCAAAATGAACAGATTATTTTCCATATCAATACATGATTGTCTTAAGAGCCTGGAGTCTTATTTACAAAACGCAAGCATGATTTGATCTGTTAAAAAAAAAAAAAAAAAGGCAAAGGCTGACGTGAAAGTGTTATTTACAGGAGTGTAACCACCATAGATATAGGCCCTTTCCCAAACGGCACACTTCATATGCACTTTCAGTCTTGTGGACTTACAATGGCTGCCGTGTGCGCGTCTCCGTTAAGCCCACAAGACAGAAGGGTGTCCCATTTGTCATTTTAGGTTTCAGAAGGGTGCTCGCTCGCTTTGCGGTCGATATGCGCCCTTGATGCACACTTTTGCCGAGCCCACACTGATGCGAGCTCTGCAGCAGACTTCTTCCCAGCAGTCAAAGCGGCGTTAAGTCACAAAAGTGCGGACTCATAGGAAGACCGCAAGTGTTTAGGGTGCCATTTGGGACAGGGCCACTGTCACCTTTTGCTTGACGATATTCAACAATATTATTGATCTGCCTGCATTGACATAATTGAACTGAGCTGGACAAATGACATCACTGTTTTCTCCAGAGCGGCTATATATACAGTAGTCAACATTTGAAGTGGATCAAAAAAGTTCATCAATGTTGTCCTAAGACAAGAACGGGTGTTGTTCAAAATTCATGTATAACTTTGATGAAAGGTTTTGATCCACTTCAAATGTTGACTACTGTATAAATGAACTCAATTAATCATTTTTTTACAACAAAAATGAACCATCACTGAACTTAAGCTGGACTATGACGCTATTTTCTTCTAGATCTGCTGAACAGCAAAAACAAACTATGTTGCATTAATTTCCTGTTATCACTGTAAAGCTGATTTGAAACAATCTGTATTGTAAAAAGCGCTATATAAATAAAGGTGACTTGACAGGGCCATAAAGGGCTATATGCTCAAGTGTTTAACTGGTATGGGATTTTCAATGACAGATTCTGAAACTTTTGCACTTACCAAATGCTAAACTAAAATGTAAAAGTCTAATTTTTAATAGGAATTACTAGACTATGTTTTATAACTGGTCTACTGTTGAATAAAAATGATTGAATTGAACAAGTACTAAAACACAGCGTAATGAATGGCAAGAGCAAGCTGAACAGAATAAGCATATCTTATCATACTGATAAGTTCTTTTGATCTTTAGACAAACTATCACAGATGCCACCAATTTTCAACATTAATGAAAATAACGTTTCTTGAGCAGCAAATCATCATATTAGACGGATTTCTGAAGAATGACAATGCTGAAAATGCAGCTTTGACATCACAGGAATAAATTACATTTTAAAATATATTCAAATAGTAAACTTATTTTAAAGTGTAATTTATTCATGTGATGTCAAAGCTGCATTTTCAGTACTTTCATTGTACTACTGTTTTTTTAATCAAATAAATGCAGCCTTGGTGGGCTGGGCATAAGAAAGTTCTTTCAAAAACATTGTTAAAAAATCATGCATAATTTCCAATATCTGTAACCTATGGACTATGGAGTATATCAACATGTTTGTGTTCACTGAAGTTTTGGGTATCTCTGTTATAGAACATCTGATTCCACTTAAAACATTATTAGTAGCATTCTCCATGACCTGATTTGCATTTCTCAATTTTATGCGTTTTGTGTGACTGAACAAATTTTTTAGTTTTCCCTATTCAGTCAGCACAGCTGTTTCAGACAATAGTAACCTGACTTGACCTATTATAATGGTCCAAAAACATAAACCACTCACACCCATAACTGCACAGTACAAACACAAAGTTATTCAACTATTGTGAATAGTTCATTGCACTAATAAACAATACTGTAATACTTTGTTCGGAACTCTATCATGGAAACTTAGCTCTCCCTAAAAATGATCTGATTACTATTGTGCAAGAGTCTGTTTTGTGTTAAGAGGTCATATATTTTGAAGATGAGGGAAATGAGGCTGCCTCATGCTTGTGACCCAGACATCATAATATAGAGTGATAGGGTAAATAACTTTAACACCACAAAAACGTGGGCGAATGTGTAACAGCCATGATCAGGTTAGACAATAATATACACATCAGCCTACATATTGCACGCAGGACAGACAAAACTAAATAAATAAAGTAAAAGTAAAATGACATTCCTTCTCTCTACACTCAGAGTTCTAGTTAGACTCAAAGCAAAATAGCTTATACTGGTCTGATATTTTGGCTTAAACTGGTACAATAACAGATGGATAAAACAGGCATGTACAACAAATGGTAATTAAATTCAAGTAATTAAATTCAAGTACTTTAAATGTAATTACAATGCACCAAATTGTATGTACAGAAGTACATTGTATAATTGTTAAATACAGTTACAGTAGTAGTTTAAAAAAACTAACTAACTAAAAAAAGCGCATTTTAGTCATATCACACTGTCCCCTTTTTCTCACAATTCTCACCATCTCTGAGGAATGTGTCAGCGAAGCAGAGGCAGCGCACCACCCCAGACAGAGAGTCGTCTGCAGAACGGGGCTCAATCCGTCTCTGCACCGGCGTCACCTCAGCATCGTGCTCCGCCAACTGGGCGTTAGCCTCCCGCACCTGATGAAAACAAGAAGATCATCTTCTATTAATCTAATAATCAACAGGTCAGCAGACTCAATGGCCTCATTCCCTGCATCACAAAAACCTGTGAGATGGTGAGGCACGTATGAGAGATTTCCAGACACTCACTTTACCGGTGGGACTATTAACCACGGCACGTTTCTTTCCTGAGACTCTGCTCTTCCGGATTCGTCTGAAGGACTGGCGCAGGGATTTCTTCAGAGACTTGACTCGAGACAGCGGGCCCTCCATAGCCAGAGAGTCATTGGGGTGTAGGGTGCACCTATGGAAAGAACCTTCCTTTGAAGCAAACTCCATTCATACAAAAGTCAGATCTTTATTAATATCCTATGAGGTTATTCTGCTGTAACGGCTGAAGGAAATGCTTATTCAGATTAGGGTTTAATTGCATACCTATAACAATCCAATCCATTCATTGGCTAATTCAATGGATAATCAATTACCGTTACTATACCAATAAAAAAAATTATAGTTATAAAATAAGTATTATTATTATTTATATTAAATACATTTTATAATTTTCTAAATTATAAATAATTGTATGATCTAATAAAATCATAAATTATCATTATTGTTGTTGTTATTAGTAGTAGTATATAATACTATTACTACCACATTCTTGTGACAGATGCTGAATATGCGAGAATATTATATGATAGAAATACATTGTATGTGAATCTAGTTAAATTGTAATTTTTTGGATCATATATTTTTATTGAGTATTGAGTTTGTGTTCTGGAATATTTGTAGAATTTGTTTGGAAATGCAGTTTCAGATGAGACCTGCTCATCGAGATAATTAATTTTATGACCCTGCTTAATTTGAAGATGGGCTTGTACACAAAAAAATTCACATTTTAATTATTAATTTAGTAAATGTTTCTACCTATATGTCTCCACCATTAAAGGGATGGTTCACCCAAAAGTGAAAATTCTGTCAATGTTTACATGTGAATAAAAGCCTAAATTCAATGTTCATCATATAAAGCGATCGAGTCTCTTCAGAAACTTTGTACTAAACCGCTCAATTCATACGATTAGTTTTACGATCTCTTTAGTACTGTAGCGGTCAATGAAGGGACAGGAATCTCTCAGATTTCATCAAAAAGACCTTCATTTGTGTTTCGAAGATGAACGGGTTCTTACAGGTTTGGAACAACATGAGGGTGAGTAATTAATGACAGAACTTAAATTGTACTTAAACTAACCCTTTAAGGTATTATTACCAAGTTACCAGGGCCAGTATATCTACCAACTCAAATTCTGCTATTGAGCCAACCCCAACTCAGAATACTTCAATATCTTCATTGCAAATGACATCAATCTTTCAGTTTGAAGCACTGATTATAAGTGCTCCTGAACAAGCATTTGGCCAAGTAATACAGCAGCCTTGGATGGCCCCATGAGTTACCTCGCCAGCACCGAACTCCGCCGATGGTAGTCAAAGAGGCCAAAGCCATGACTGGTGCCAAAGGCAATGAGGTTCCACTCTGCGTGCAGGGTTACTGCAGTAACGGCCGCAGGCGGCATGCACTGCACCAGGACAACCGGCTGGAATCCAGGAGCAAACACTACCGGGCCCATCTTAGGAGGCAGCCGGTCATGACCCTTCCACGTAAAACCCTCTCGGTCCTGAAGCAGGTCCACCGTGGCCACATCAATCATATGATCTGACTTCTCATCGCTTAGAACCATAACTATAACCTGTGAACAGAGTTTATAACACTACTATCATTTCTTTTTGTGCAAACTATAGTCATTTAAAAACCTAGTGAGCTTCCCATCTAGGCAACATTATTAAGGCCCGTTCACACCAATAACTAGCTTGGTGTGAATGGCCTTTAGGCATTATTCAAATGGCACTGGTTTTCCCCCAAGGAGATGGGATGAATCCATGTTTCACAGATGATTTTGAATGGACAGAGTCAAGATGTTATGAGGTTTCATTAAGTGTATAATGCTGCCTATGTGGATATATTTGTATTAAATCATTAAAAACTAGTGATCCTACTTGTCCAGCTGTTCCAGCCACCACCAGTTTTCCACTGTATTTACAGAGGCTGATCTTCTGGATTCCTAGTCTAGGATCATCACTGTATGGGTCAAAACAGCCCACCTGCAAATAAATGAAAAGCAAACATAGATTGTTATAATTCTTCATTGATTTATAAAGCTGCACAAACAGTGCAGCAATATCCTATTTATGAGGAATGTATAGTGTAAAAACACACATGAACCAATTACGGTAAGTCTAGTAAAGCCCAAAGTATACTTCAGTTTTTGTGTACGCGAGGGTCCGCGTACATTGTGCGTGATGCAAATTTCATCACTAGAATAGCATGCCCACCACCAGTTCAAGTCATGTCGAAAAGATCGCATTTACAAGTTAAACGCACATGAACGCCACCACAAAGGCGTAAATACAAGTTGGAAGCACCGAACTTTACGAATTGGGGGCGTTAGGGAGAAAAACGTGGATATACCACAATATTTACAGGCATTTAGCATTGACATTCTCAGGCTTTTTCATTTACAACAAAACAAGCTAATTCCCTGCACAAAATATAATAGCATTCTTTGTTCTTCATTTTCTGGAAGTAGAGTACAAAAACCTAATGTTTTTTGTGTTAATTAAGAGAAGGTACAGCCATCTTGCTCTACAAAAGTGACTTGAACGCACCTGACGGCGTAAACAACTTGCCAACTCGTAAAATACGAACTACCCAGGAGCACTTGAACGCACCATTTGTACGCGCAAGTCGCACATGCGCATTTAATTTGTTTTACACTAATCAGTTGTTCCACAAGGTGACAACCCTGGGCCTGCCGTTGTTTCTACTACGCATACTCTAGTGTACACGTAAAAAAAAAGAAAGAAGAAAAATAGGCTACTTTAGCATGTAGAAGATATTTTGTTTGTTTTTGTGACAGTTAAGACAAAAGAAGAAAAGAAAAAGAAAAATCAAAAACCATCCATACAGCCTTAAAGAAAAAGCATCAGCCATATAGCTTGACTACATGTTATGAACATTATATAATGCAATCGGTAACAATATAAGACTGTATTTCCTTCCCCTCTAGACACATTGACCCTCAAACCGCGTCTGCTCCCGCCCAAACAGATGCTGACAAAGTCAAGAACAAAGAAAAGAGGAATGTGCATGTTATGAGGAGGGAGAAAAAAAAAACAGTAAAACAAAAAGCAATGCAGCAGTGCCATCCAGAGCAACAATGCGCTTCATTTTCAGCAGACGCTAGCAAAGCATTTCAGTCGTCAGGCAGACAGTCTGCTTTTAATTAAGGTGCAAACGGAATCAACTCCACTGTGAATCCCATATGCTTAAGTGGGCCACACGCCAGACTGCAGTCTGCATTTTATGGAGAAGCTGAAGAGGAAAAGGTGGATTAGGAAAACAAAGAGAGAAGTGAGAGGTCAAGAAACTTTCAGAGCTGAAATAGCCCTTGTGAAAGAAAACGGAGTAAAATAAAATAAGATAACATATATCCCAGTGTTCAGATGATGTGATAGCTAAGTGAATTTAAAAAAATCATCAGAACTCCCAAATAATCCCTGACCTTTCTGAAAGGAGGCCATTCCTCCTCCCCAGCCTGCGTCAAGCTGTCGTTGTGGTCGCAGTCTGTCTGAAAGATGTTCGCTGTGCTCAGTTTGTACAGAGGTTTGAGCGACACTCCCGACGCATCCCAGAAGCGCACTGTACCGTCCTCATGACTAAAAAACAAACAAAAATAGCCACACATCATCTTGACAACTGATCCAAATAAATTAATGCATTTCATTAAAGTCTGTAGGACGTTTTATCAAAACCTTTAAGAGCAGCTGTTCAAATAACTTGATTTTGATTTGTAATATGTAAAGGAAACAGAGCTTAAAATAAAATAAAAAAATACAAATGAAACAAACTCACCCAGTTAACAGTAGTTCTTTTTGCTTTGGATCAGGTGCTAAGTTTTTCCCTCCACAAATTGGCCAATTCTGTCAAAATACAGAGGAAAAAAACACTTCAGGGTAGCCACTTCAATGAAAATACATCTGGAAAACTTTTAATTCTGTAATGAAATAACATTAAATAAAAACTTTGATGCTGGTTTATGTTTTACTGGAGGTTGTTAAATAAAATCCATTTCAGAAAGTCAAAATCCCTTGCTCCTAAGCTATTAAATCTAAAAATACAGTATGAGCGTGCTATATTAAATTAATTCATTTATATAACAGTAACAAAAACGAAGGGAGGTGTTGGTTTAATAATGTTAACGTTATACTCATAACAGATGTTATATGAAATGCAGCAGTTTTCTGCTGAATTGGAAAAAACATTGACATATAGTTGGATTTCCTCCGTTTACATATGTCTTGTTATTCAAACAGCAACACATAATTTGCAACATTCTACACATTATCCAGATTTTGGCTTTATATTATTTGGCTATTATACAGTATTTTGAAAGAATCTGAAACAAATTAATATAATTTTTCTTTTAATATAACTCAATAATACTTTCAGCTACCAATATGAGTTATCCCGGCTCCAACATTTTAAAACCATTCCACCAAATTTCATTTCAAACCAACACAGAACATGTATAAAAAAAATAAAAAATAAACACAAGTTTTGGGTCTTTGTGTGGAGTCCTTAATTCACCCACCTCATAGTTCTGCAAAGGACACTGCTGTTGGCCAGCACTGATCACTCTCTCCCAAAACCTGGGAGGCACGTTTGAGATGTGACATGAAAAGGTGATAGCGGAGGAGTGCAGAGGAGCCAGATAGGGAGCAGGGACAGTGGGCCAGCCAGCAATTTGAAGATCAATCACTACCAGCTCCTCTTCCAAAAGAACCACAAGGGCTGATGGCTCATCAAATTCTGTGAGGCACAAAAATAACTAAAGTCCATGCACAGAAAAAAAAAAAAAACATTTAGCAGACACATGTATCATCAGTGATTTATAGAATGGGTTATTACAACCCGGGTCCAAGTGCCATGATCAAGGGTGCAATGATGACAGTTTAGTGATTGCCCCATGTAGGAGTTTGAACTTATAACTACGGCTGGGCGGTATGATGGTATAGATTCAGCTGTACGGTTTATATGACAGCATGTATTTATGGTACAAATTTACTAAGGATGCATCCATGAATCAGCCAATTTGTATCGGCCGATAAAAGCAATTATTTTGTTTAAAATCAGCCAATTATCAGGGCAGATTATATCCTGTCAGTCAAAAGGGGCCTGAAAAACGTATCACACTACTGTGGGAACTCATACTACTGTGTGTGAAAAAAATATCTTGTTGAATTTAGGGCTGTTGAAGTTAAAGCGACCATAAGAGTTTTAAAAAAAAACCTTATAATTCAATAATTATTCAATAATAATAATAATAATATTATTAGACAGGTACAGTGTTTTTAATTATTCAACAACAACCACACCACCTGACCCACTCACCCTTATCTCTGTCTGTGCAGTGAATGGTGAAGAAGTCTATGACACGCGAAGTGAAGTCCAGGGTGACGTGGCTGCTGTCCTGCAGGATGGTTAAGCAGTGTCTGTCTCCATAGCTGGCTCTGGGCATACCACCACTGAACAACACTAGAGGAGCTCTACAGAGACAACAGAGGACACCCTCCTGAGTTAAACCAGCAGAGCTAAAACATGATTATGGTATTTCATTTCTCACACATTACGGCACAAACCCTGATTCTGTTGTCCTCCACAGGATCTTGTTCACGGCTTTGCAGGGAAAGGGGCCTGAGATGAATAAGACACAAAAAGAGGAAAAAGAAAGACAAACTGAGTTTGAGAGAAACTACCAAAAATACAGTAATCTTGGCAGAGTAATGTTAAAAATTTGAAAATATCCGTAGATCCCCAAGCGGTTTGTCTCAACAAACCATCAGCTAATAGTGAAGAGTGCATATGAGGTTTACGATCCCTTTAATAGGTCTGGAAAAGGATTTTAATGGCCTATAACAAAAGTTGAACAGACCCTAAGCTTTGCCACATAACAACATTTCCTGACATTGTGCGAGTTATGCAAACATATAACCAGACATCTATGGCTAATGGCTACTGGAATTACTACAGTGTATCTGCACACAAAAAAATGCATGTTAAACGTTTGATTTTAATCAGAATAAAACAATAGCTAGTCTTTTTAAAATGTAATGTAAATACTTTAGTACAGTGGTTCCCAAACTGGGGTAAGTGAGGTGACAGAGGGGGTCCGTGAACAAAATGCAGAGTTTTGCCATTCATTTAATTCTGCCCCACCTTAAAAATGACACTAAAACCGATCATGCATTTCTAACAGGCAAAATGCCACCGCTAATGTAAAAACAGGAAAATGTTAGTGTCGTAAAAGGTCAAATATATGACAAAATCAAATGAAATCATCTTTTGTGATCAAAAATGACTGCATCCACAAAAGCAGCATCCATATGATAGGTTCTACACTATTGCCATTCTTTGTAAAAGTGGGGATTTATCACTTACTAACATGACAAACATATATAGACACAGATGGTACACAGACATCGATTAAGACTTACTCTCTTCAACACAAAAACATACCCTGTGTGAGTTCTTGTTTGTAAATGTTGAGAATATATTACACGAGCAAGAATAAAAAAAATCCCGAATATCCACATGCTTGCAATTGTGACATTTTATACAACAGTTCAACAAGCAAAAGGGCAATATTAAGTGATGTACATTTGCATTGTCAGTATTGTGTGCTAGCCTGGCTAACGTCAGACCACATCTCATTGACACTGAGACGTGGTCTGGGAACCACATGTTCATTTTCTCGTATTGAGGCGTGGTTTACGAATGCCCAGAGCCGTTTATTGGGTGCTACGAATGTCTATCAAATGCGCCTGTACGTAGCTCATAGCCAATCGTTTCAATTATACCAGACGACGTATGTAGAGCGAAAGAAATTAGACGAGGAAGAAGACGATGGGTCAGAGATTTATTTGCGTACTAAACTACTTAGAACAATATCCAAGGCTGCATCGAAAGGTAACTTCGCGTCTGCTGCCATGTTTGATCCATAGGTATAAACAAACTGCTTCGGTGTGTCGCATAGACGTCGTCATCGTCTTGCTGCTCCCTCCCTGTTCTGTGTTTGGTCCCCTCGCTGAGGCGAAAATTTGGTCCATGGTATCCAGACTGCCTAGCAGCGTGAATAAAATCGCGCTGCGCAAAGGCAGTATGGGGAAACCCAGGCTAAATGTGTGCTCTATTTTGAAACGAAATACAACAAAAGCCACAGCAGAACTGTTGTGCATCTCCAAGCAACACACAGCAGTGTTTTGTTAGTAAATTAATCAGCGGCTTTGAACGAATCGGGAGAGTCAATGATTCAATGACCCATTCATAAATACAGCCACTCACTTCATTGCTGAATGAATGAATGACTCGATGACTCACTCTTTAAGACAGTGACTAACAGCCACCAACTGGCAGTTTTAGTTTGACATTTAAAAGCATCACTTTTTCTCATCATTTTATATTTCTCTGTTGACCTTTTTCCATTTAAAACATTATCTCATAACATTATTTATGCCATTGTAATTGTATTCATGCCACCTCTGAGCAGCATTAATCTGTGTGAATACATCTATATGCAGCTAGTTGATACCGATTTCATCTGATTGAAATTATGGATTTAGTTTAATTTATTGCTTTATTAATTATATTAATGGAATTTTAAGAATTTGACAAAACATGAAATGCATTTAATAGGGTTAGAAAAACTTTGCCTTTATAAAAGTTCTAAAAAAACTGCACCTAAAATCAATTTAAGGAGGCAATTATTGCCCCTTCATGGAAAAGGTGTACAGCAGTCCAAGTGGAAGAGAGGTGGTACGCAAAAAGGATGTTAAAGAACTCAGGTTGTACGCCAGTCTAAAAAGTTTAGGAACCACTACTCTAGTATGACTGAAATTGTACCAGACTTATATCAAGTGACTGGAGCTTGGCTTTGTTCAAAATGTATATGCATCATACAACAACTGGCCTCAGTGATGTTGACTCATATTTAATCCTAGTTTGGGGTCAGAAAGATTTATGTTTTGGAAAGAAGCAGTCATTACATAACCTTTCAGAAATCACTCTTACATGCTGATTTGTTGCTCAATCATTTCTTATATAATTGTGCACCAAACTTACTGCTAACAAAGTCTGTGCGAGTGAAACAAAAAGAAAAGGGAAAGGCTGTGTAATTGGCATGTGTTGTGGCTCACCATATGGTATGGTGGATGAGATCGGGTCAAAGGTGCAGGGATTGCTGCTGCTGACAGCCCACACCATGTATCCGCCATCACTATGGGAACTAACAAAGCTGTTCCCGGACCGTTCCCAGACCAAACTCTCCAGCTGCTGCAAGAGTGACAGTCCCACACAATACACAGTGTCAAAAAAGGACCAAAGACGTTGAAAGGAAGTCAAAAGGTTTGAGTTAAACCATCTGGACAACTTAACATCAAGCATGGATGATTTAAAGATGCAATTTAAGCAGAGTTATGAGTCTCGGACAGATCTCTTGACCTGCTCCCTTTGAAAGTCAGGAGTGTAATTATTTGACATTTACAGACAAACTTTGAATTAAAATAGAAACATAGACATCAATGTTTAAAGTTTCAAGCTCATGACCGCAAAAAGTGTTGAAAGCCATTTGAGAGACATCAAACAAACTTGCACACACACACCCACCTGCTTTCCCAGGAAAAGGTTGTCTACATGCCGACTGTTGAGGTCCCAGAGTACAACCAGACCTCTGCTGTAACCAATGAGGATTTTATCAGAGTCTTTTGGATGTTCCTGCAGGGACTCCACAGGCCCCAATGATTTTCCACACTTGTACTCTTCTGGAACACTGAAGAGGGGAAAGAGGAGACATGTGAATGAGATTACACAGCAAGATTTTATTCAGAGTACATCGAAGATACAGAAAACCTAGAGATAAATGACAAAACCAAGCGCTACGCTGCACCAGAAAACATTTGGGAGATTTATTCTCTTTGTAGAGCCACTCAACTGCACTTCTATTTGGTATAAAAACCCAAATCTGAGTACACACTACTTAACTCCCCAAACACAGAGCGCTACTGAAGTACACATCAGAGGTTACAGAAAACCTTCACTGCAAAACTTCACTCAGCACTTTATTCTCAGCAGATTCAAATGCAGTCTTGTGTGGAAAAGCATTTCACATGGAAAAATGTGCAGGTCTCTGGGTTCAATGAGAAGAATAAACCAAGCTGCAAGCTTTGAGAACAATGTATTGAACATTTGGTAACAATTACTCTTGATTCATGTTTGGAAAGAAAACGCAAAGTTCAATAAACAACTCCAAAAAATATCAGTGGCTCAAACACAAGAGTAACACGGCAGAAGTTGACACACCATTATCAGACGCTGACATGCTTAAATTCAGTTTGAAAGCCAGACAAATGATGACCAATCAAAAGCCACAGTTCAGGATTCCTCTGTGGCTGTGGCATGGATTCAAGAGCTGGAATGTGCATGGTACACCCACAGAGTCGGGATGAGATGTAGCCATTAAGGGGGAGAGGAAAAGTGGAAAGCGCATGGAAAAGAAGGACTGGAGTAGTTGTTTGATGGCATGGCTTGGGATGAAAACAGTCACAAGAAACAAAATTCACACAAACAACGAAGGCTTTTACAAGTAAATTTAAGAAATGGAAAACCAGATTTGCACTTCTTGAAAGACATCCCGCTGTTTATAAGTCACTGTGTGATAACCAAATCATACATTTGTATGGCAACGTTGAAATTACATTATTGCTCCGAGATATAGATTGTTGAACTGTCAAATTAATGGGAGATCTTGCAATTTTATTTTATATTTGTATAAAAAAATTCAAATGTGTAGCACAAGTCTGTAAGTTTCGAATAAAATTTAATAAGTTAAATTAAAGGATTAGTTCACTCTAAAATGAAAGTTCTGCCATTTATTAACCATCATGTCGTTCCAAACCCGTAAGACTTTCGCTCATCTCCAAAACACAAATGAGGATATTTTAATGAAACCTGAGAGATTTCAGCCTTTTATGAATCGAGAATAAACGCCATTTAATTTAAGCTTGTATTCACATATAAACATTCATAAACTCACACATCAGTTGTGGTAAACGGAGGCTCAAGCATGTTTGCTTGACGTGCGAGAACCAATGAGGTTCATTCTCGTGTGTTACGCAAGTACGGTTGAGCTTCTGTTTAAGTTCACTGATCAATATGTTTATGTGAATAAAAGCCTAAATTCAATCTGTTCATCATATAAAGTAATCGTGTCTCTTCTGAAAATTGTGACTAAACCGCTCAATTCATTTGAATAAGGTTTACGATCTTTTTATGAACTTTGAAGCGTCAAAGTGGTATAGTTGCGTAGCTGTCTATGGAGGGACAGAAATCTCTCCGATTTTATTAAAATATATTAATTTGTTTAGAAGATGAACAAAATTCTTAAGGGTTTGGAACAACATTAGGGTGAGTAAGTGATGACAATATTTTGTATTTTTGGGTGAACTCAATTTAACAAATGTTCCCATACCTTTTGACCAATAAATCTATGATTTTTTTTACATGATCTTTCCATAATTTTTCCAATTATTCATGATATTCATGAATTAAATAAGTATTATGAAGACATTAAAACTCAAATACATGTCAATCTAGATGTCCCACATGCCTTTAAGAAAAACAAAATCACCACAAAACACAATGTTTTCTACCAAGACGCAGAGTATACTCTGGCATTTTGTATCCTGCTGATTCTCAAAGATGAGTGTGCAAAGCTCATATCCTCCATTTTAAACGCCTCCTTGGATAGGGCCCAAGATATTTGGCACTTGGTACAAAAGCATTTTGTTCAGTAGTTTCCTGGCTGACACATACTTATTACCAGTGGCTCAGATAGGATGCCCATTACCCCAAATTGTGCTGAGTTAATGAGCAGTTCAAGGTCTCTCAGAGGCAGATGAGGTCCACATTTAGCCACCCAGGCTATATCTGCAACAGGGCACACTGGGAAAGCTGTAATTTATCTCAGAGTTAAACAACGTCTTTAAAGAGTAAGATGAATAGCTAGTGTGATTTCCTGCCTTGTAACAGTCACAATTACAGCAATTAGGAAAAACAGGTTTCTTCTTAAAGATTGATGTATTAAATATTTATAAATATTCTTACAATGACAACTAAATAACAGAGGAATAAATACTGTATCTCATCAGATCGCAGAGATCAATGCCTTTCTGAACTCCAAACTTCTAACTGTGGCCATGTGAAGTCAGTGCCTTGGCAGTGGGACAGGAAAGCTCAAGATGCATATAACCTACTGACAGAGTAACAGACAGCCACAGCTGGGGGCATAAAGGGGCAAACAGCCTTGGGTGAATCAGGAAGTTTGATCTGTTCCCTGTTCAAAGTGTATTTGAGAAGTGTGACAAAGGCAGCTTGGATAAGGGCTAAAGGAGGGAAGGAAAATAAACAAAAATTCTTGCTGCAGCTTCATTAACCCATGGGGTGGGAGTCCCCAAATGGTTATTTTATGAGGTAAGCGTGTAGAATCTGTCTGCACTGCCATGTTTATTAGAGTCCAGTGTGGACATCCTGATTCACAGAAACTTAAAAAAAAATACCCTTGTCCCTTGAGAGACATTCAGAAAATATTTTTCAGAGTGGTTGTAGAGAGGGTTAGGGTTAATACTTTTATTCAGCAAGAACACATTAAATAGATCAAAAGTGATATTTATAATGTTGTTACAAAAGATTTCTATTTCAAATAAATGCTTTTCTTTTGAACTTTCTACCCAAAATGTGTTACAGTTTCAACAAATTTAAAGTGCACATATTATGCTATTTTAAAGGTTCTTAATTTTGTTTTGGAGGTCTCCTCCAATAGGTTTAAATGCATCCAAGGTCAAAAACACTTAATTTTCTCATAATATACATTGCACATTTCTCAAAAAGTCTAAAAACGGTTCTTTCGAAGATTCAGTCTCCCTAAAGCCCAACTTTCCAAGAGTCCACTCTGCTCTGATTGGTCAGATGGCCCAGTCTGTTGTGATTGGTCTAAAACTTAAAGCACTTGTCAGAATATCTGACTTTCATCTCCGGAGTCTTCCTCAGCACATGTATACACAGTGATGCAAATAGTGACAATGGTGTCAGTTTTTTCACATCAATTCCAGCGAGAGTCCTCATCCTTTGGAAGTTTATTCAAAGTGGAGTTGCAGCACTAAAAAAAAAATGCATGCATCTTCTCGACATGTCGACAACACGAACCTCTTCCAGCCCTCCGCTACAACTAGTGTTGGAGAGTGGGTCAAAGTAGGCGTTGTTTGCGGGCAGCCAACGAAGACCATATGCAGGCAGGCAACACTATTTTACAGTATGCATAATTTATAAATACTATAGTATATATACTATTTCTGTAAATACTATTATAATTTATTACCATAGTAACTATGTAACAAGGACAATTACGTGCAACTAGCCCTAAAACCCTAAACCCTAGGTTTACCAACTGGTTTGAATGGTAGTATAATAACTGAAATTTTTAAATAAAATGCAGCTACATACAGCTAGTCAGACAACTAGTAAAGTGGTAACATTTGGGTGACCTGATAATGTGACAAGGTCAATATGGATACTGGAAGGGCAGCTCTCACCTCTGCATGACCTCGTCCTGGAACAGCGACTTGTTCAGCAACGTGAGGGTGGGCAGTTCCAGAAAGTGTACCCCGCCACCTTCAGTGCCCAGAGCAAGAAGATCACAGCCCAGCTTCAACAGCATGACGGTCACACGTGTCGCACTACAGAGGAGAAGCAAGCAACCTCAAGGTCATAGTTTGGACAAGATTGGACAAATTTGGGGAGTTTAAAAAAAAAAAGGAAAGGAAAGAAAAGAACCTTACTTGGTGCTCTCAATGCCTGGCCTGCCAGGCAGATTGAAGCTGTGAACCTCTATCAAATGTGAGCGGTTTTCTCTCTGCACAATCTCCCATAGGTGAATGGTGTTATCATCCAAAAGAGAAAGTATCCTCCCCTAGAGAGAGAGAGAAAGAGAATGAGTGAGAGAGAGTGAGAGAGAGGCTTATTGAATGTTAAAAAAAATATATATATATATATATTATATATATTAGGGCTGTCAAATGATTAATCACGATTAATCACATCCAAAATAAAAGTTTTTTTTACATAATATATGTGGGTGCACTGTGTATAATTATTTTGTATATATATATATATGTATGTATATATATATATATATATATATATATATATATATATATATATATATATATATATATAAATATATATATATATATATATATATATATATATACACACACATGCATGTATATTTAAGAAAAAAATATTATTTATATATAAAATATTTATATATAATATAAATTATATATAAATCTATATACATGAAAATATTTCTTAAATATATACAAGCATGTGTGTGTATTTATATATAAAATAATTATACACAGTGCACCCACATATATTATGTAAAAAAAACTTTTATTTTGGATGTGATTAATCACGATTAATCATTTGACAGCCCTAATATATATATTTTCAATAAAACACACCCCAGCACCAAGCTACAATGATTGATGTAAACATGTGCACCTTATGAGTACAGGTTTAAAACATGATCTTACCTGTCCATAGAGGAAGTGTATCTGAGTGACAGCAGCAGTGTCTTTATGAAGTCCAGTCATCTCCACCCCAGGAGCGCCATATCTTAATGCCCAGTCAAGGATTATTTTACAGTGGTGCATTCCAGGATTCACATCTGTTTTGGGAACAGATTACCTCAAGGGAAAACGTTTCAGACTAGGCTTTGAGAACTGAATTTGTCTTCAATTTATCAGGTATCTATTCATGCTTTCTTTAAACAATGCACAAACTTAAACATGCATTAAGCGATTTCTGAGAAACACTGTTGATATTTGAAATCAACCCAAACAAACACACCCCTCCCTTCATTGCTTCGCCCCCAAAATGCACAAACACGCAATGCAAGAGTGGATGTCTCTTTATCATCGCTTTTATTTTTCACGAAGCATTATTTTCTTCCATTCAGCTAAGATGACGTACAAACGACAAGGTAAAAAAAAAAAAAAACGTACACAACAGCAAGAGTTTGTTGTTAGTCGCCAACAGTAAAGCAGCTCCAGACAAACAATGACACTCAAAACTGTCCTGTTACTAGCTAACATTACATCGACAGCATATCTTGGTTCTGTGAAACATAGGGAAACCAATGATCTGGAGCAGAAACAACGCAACCTCTGCGTCAGTTTTCAGGCCTTCTCACTAAGGTCTCTTCTAATATTAACACTGGTCCTCAAGCTCTTGTCTGATCATAACTCTTCTTTTTCCGGTGATATTCCTCTGACTTTTTCTCTTTTGTAATGTCTCTCAGCCATCTCTCCAGTCTTTCTTCGAATCTCCCTCTTGCTTACTGTCTCTCCTCACCCATCATGAGTGGAAACGCCCCTCCTGCTGATTGGCTAGAAGGGTGTTGTGGTGCTCGGTCTGATACACTTTCAACAACGTTTCTCAGAAATCACTATCTGCACCTTTAAGTGTTGATAAATGCTTGTTATTCATGGTGTACAAAAATTGTTTTAACGGACATGCATGTGTGCTCTATAAAGTATTTGAAATTAAATGGCAACAGAGACGTTAATCACTTAATTTCTCTTATGAAAGGCTTTTCATAAAATGGTAATGCTTGTGTATCTGACTAATCAAAAATGTAATTCTTTTATTTTTATTATTGATTGATTTCAGTCCTACTTAAGACATGTTTTGTCACATATCAGCTCCAATGAATCACTTTCAATCTTGTTTTTTTAAAGGGAAATCAAGCCAAAGCTGTGGTGAATGTAGTTCAAATGTAAGGTCAAGAAGCAACACTGTGTAAAGACTTAAACTCATGAAACAGAGGATTCTCTGAGGGAAGTAATTACAGACATATAACACTCATTAAACAGTCCACTGAGCTAAACACTAAGAAATGAGCCAAAATAAAATCAAAACTAAATAGCTCTGATTGGCCCACACTCAATCTGATCCTGAATGTCTCCAGAATCAAGAGAAATCTACTCTTTTTCAGTTGGCAAAGCTGATTGTGCTTTTCTTCAATAGACTGTAGCTCAAATGCTTTCTGGATGGCTATTGTGGTGTGCTTTTCATTAAAAAAACTACACAGCCTTCCACTCTCATAACAAAAGAGTGGATATCTAGGTCAAATCTGATCCACGTAAAAAAGATCCAAACTCTGCAGGAAGGAGGAGACATCCTTAGAAAAACTCAATTCAGCAAGCCTTGTGAAAGAGAGGAGCTCTTTAAAAGTAAAATCTTGACTTTAAACTGAGCACGAATGTGTTTGGAAAGGCGCACTATTGTAGCAATAGGTATACTGTGCAAAGAAAGCATGCACAATTTTTGGGGCAAAATGTGCAGTACACAACCCAACAACACTGCGTCAAATACCCTATCCCACAATGCAATGCCCTAAACCTGACCATCCATTTCCAGCTTGACGAATAAGCTGAAAGAGTTTACAAAGTGCCATTATTTGACCAAAAAGCCAAAAGAAAGATTTGTACACAATTGAAATTGTTGAAATGAAACAATTGAAATTAAATGTGAAATAAGTCTCTTTTTCTGGACAGCATGCAGTTTGTATATTATATTATAATGATTATAATATAAAACACATGCACCAGCTGCAATACTTGCTCACTTCTTTCGCTAGAGAAGAAAAGTAAAACATTAAAGGGTTAGTTCACCCAAAAATGAAAATTATGTCATTAATGACTCACCCTCATGTCGTTCCAAGCCCGTAAGACCTCCGTTCATCTTCGGAACACAGTTTAAGATATTTTAGATTTAGTCCGAGAGTTTTCTGTCCCTCCATTGAAAATGTACGGTATACTGTCCTTGTCCAGAAAGGAAATAAAGACATCAAAGTAGTCCATGTGACATCAGTGGGTTACTGACCCACTGAACATCAGTGGGTTTGTGATGAACGGAGGTCTGACGGGCTTGGAACGACATGAGGGTGAGTCTATAATGACAATTTTCATTTTTGGGTGAACTAACCCTTTAACAACTTCTAATTTAATGTGTAAAGAGGCCTGGGTTCAGACCTCAACTTAACAATTTTTCTTATATTTCTCATTTATAATCAATATCTTTATAAAATATTTGTTTTATTTTAATTTTTAATAATAAATCAATATTTTAAATAATGCATGCATTTTCATTAAATGGACAAAATGTCATCGTTGGTTTTTTTGCTTGTGAGGCAGGGTAGGTACATCTGATTCAGACTAATGAGAAGAGATGCACTGATGGAGCGAAGGGAGCACAGGACACACCGTCAGCTCGACTGAGCCCAGAACAAAAGCTCAGGCTGTGTGGCACTGCCGCACGTCACCCTGCCACCTCACACACAGCTCTCTGAGAGCCACTTCAGCTGCTGCCTAATCAAGCCCATAATGTCTTACACAACCAGGCTCTTGAAACGGCACCCCAGACGAACTGCTCCATTCTGAAGTCCCCGTGGTTGCCATGGCAGCATCTCGATTATGTCACACGGGAACAGGCATCCTGTTATTTGCAGAAGAGGCTCATATGCCCCAAAAATGATACACAATGAAAAGGTTCAGAAGTCGAGAAACATGAGACACAGAGCGTTAACACGCACAATCTTACACCAATTACGCTTAATTAGATGAAAGGTCAAATGGTGTTGAGGGTGTTGAGGGTGTTGATGGTGTTGAGGTTTAAAACCTTAAATGGTGTTGTTTATCAGATAATGGTCATAAATGGTTTACGCAAAATATACATGTAGATTTTTGTCTGCATGAAACTCCTTTACCAGACAAAATTATAATTTGAATTCAAATGTGGTTTTCTTGAGTTGTTTGTTTTTATAATGAGCTGATTATGATTCTTATTTATGAATAAATAAATACATGACAGTGCTGTCAAATCGCATCTAACATAAAAGTTTGTGAATATACAATATATACACCTTACACACACACACAACAAACTTTTATGTTAGATGCAATTAATTGCGATCAATCGAATTGACATCAATAATAATAGTATTAAGATATCTTTACGAATATATAAAATATTTTTTTTATTATTATTATTATTTGTACATGTAAGCACACTCACTGAGTAAAGCTTGCTCTCCTATAGGACTGCATTAGGCATAAGCTTTTATCAGTATACATTTTATTAGTTATTGTATTCCCACATCATGCAGAGCCGCTTGAGCTACCGGAAAAAAGAAAAGAAAAAAAAAAAACGTAAAAAAAAAAAGAAAAGAAATATTAATAATGACAAGGGATGCAAAGAAAACAACCTCTAAGGAAGAAGAAATATATGCCAAATGTATCCAAACAATTTATTGGACTACATTAGAGAAAGTCCTGCTCAGATGGCCAATTAATAAAACTAAAGTAACTACAAGCTTCTTTGAAGAGAAATTTGAAGGGGAGAAAATGTTTAATAATTGAGGTAAAATAGTACAGAACCAAAGGAGGGTCCAGGTGTGTGAAGCATGCTGGGAGTGCAGGAATTAAACAGAGGGGCGAGGAACAGTTACATCTGTAAAATTCTCTCACACTCAGCCTTGATTACTCAACAGGCCATTAACTTGAACAGAGAGGCTGTGTCATTTTTTCCCCTCAAAAACTCCCCCTATACAGTCAATATACCCTCCTTTTTGAGCCAATCCATCCACCTCAGTGCATTGCTAATGGTGCGGAGAGATTACAAACCATGAGATGGCTGCACTCCAAACAGGGCACAGCATGGTTTTGGTAGCAGACACTCAAAACAGAACCTGATATTCCCAAGACACAAAGAACATGAATTTTAAACAACTGAAGGCATCCAAATCAGCTCAAAAACATTTTAAAATCACATTTTTACCCTCAAGAAATCCATGAAAGTATTGCCAGTACTTAGATGTAAATTATTTTGACCAAGATAATCAATAATAAAGCCAAAGACGACAGTTTCAAACCTGAAAATTTTACTTTAAATTGCTAATCTGGAAATCCAATATGCCTTAGCAGTTGTTTAGTTAAGAGACATGAGAGATACTTTCATTGTGGACAAAGAGAAGTATAAACATTTGTCAAAGCATCTCCTTTTGTGGCCTACAAGATAAAGTCATGGGGTTTAGAAAATCCAATTGAGAGTAAATGACAAATTTCATTTTGGGCAACCCTTGTGAAAAAAAGTTAGCATACTTATTTTTTATTTTTATTTTAATTTAAAGGAGCTGTATGTAAGATTGTGGCCAAAACTAGTACTGCAATCACTGTCAAATTACTGTAGAGTGGTGTATCCCCTCCCCCTCCCCCTGACTCGAGGTTGCCAGATCGGCTGCAGGATCCAGCAGGAACGTGACGAGCTGCAGCTGTGGTAACTAGAGCAGAGCTGGCAACCCGGATGCCGCAACACTACTGACTTCGTGATTGGTAGATAGGTGGAGGGTGGAGCATCAGACCAAAACACAACATGACAACATCAACATCAGTTGAGGGCTGCAACTGCACTTTTTAAATGACAATATCCTGGCCAGACTACTGTTGTCAGTGATATAAGTGTTTGAAATGTACATGATTTCTTAATGTCTAGTGACATTTCAGGGCCATTTTATGATTAATTTAAATACATTTCTTACATACAGCTCCTTTAAG